ATTTTAGTCTACATTTTTAGTATAGGCATCACAATCAGGTTAGTTAAGTACAATATCAGATACACAAGTTAAATCATCGTTTCATATTTCTGAAATGACGTAATAAAATTTGGTAGAATTATAATTAATAAAATTAGATCTAATATCTCGCAAGATATTTTCATTAGATCAAATATCTAAAATTATACAAATGCAATAAAACAAATATATTGTCTAAATCAGAATAGAATCTAAATGACATTGATCTAGACCGATTTCATAATAGATCAAATTGGAATGAATTAAGTAGACTATATATATGGATTAATAAAAAATGCAATCAAATGGACCTAACAAAGGGACCAAAGTTGACAAAAAATAAATTGAACTGGAATTGAGGCATCAAAATGCTAACAATCATAAAGAGTGTTCATAGTATATGGGAATGATCAAATATCTCGAAATATATACATTTGATCAAAAATCTAAAAAGGCACGAATCAAGAATTTATAATATTTTTAATTGGTGCATTTAAAGATGCTATACTCAACCCCACAAGTTTACATCAGGGTAGGCGAAGAAAACTTCCAAATCTGAAATAGGAACCCTTGTTCTTTGTTGCAGATTTGAATTTACCCGAAATAAAAATTCCCCAATTTGACGCATAGGATGTAGTAAGCAACAGTACCTCGGGGAATAGAGGGAGAGAGTAGCTAGGTGTTTAGGGGATTGATAGAAAAAATTTTCCGTACAAGTATTATTACATTTTTTTTCAATTTTAACGATATATTTCAATTTTAAATATAACGTCATGATAACCATTACCTTTCAATTAGAGCACCTTGTATTTTAAAAATTAAATTTTGAGTAAATAATTTAGTATAATTATTATTCATTCAAATAATTTCTCAGTAATATATGAATTTAGGTATTTAATGTATGCTGACAAAATAAAGCCAAATTTAAAAGTACATCTCCTAATTCAATATGCTAATTTCGAAAGGGTTCTTGGAGCAATTGTTACGCTGTTTATTTTGAGCTGTGAAAAATACCACGCGTAGCATTTCATACCAAACACACCATCATCAATAAACACAAGTCATAAATAACAAAGTTCCAACAACTCTTTAATTGCTGTGCTCCTTGGGCAAGATATATACAAATATTTCTCTAAGCATTGTTCCCCCATCGAATAACACAGAGGAAAACTGGGTTACTGTGCGGAAAATGATTCTCAGCCCATTTATGGAAAAATGGAAATTTTGGTCGCGTGGGATTTTTCCTTAACAGCAGTTCGAAACAAACAGAAAAGGAAAAAAAAATTAAGAAGGCAGGTAAGAATTAATAGACAAAAGCATCAGAACAAAATTCTTAAAAATATCCTGATGAGACATTTATTAAGTAGTGGCTTGACAACGCATATATAAAGTCGTAGGCTAATTAGAAAATTTCCAATTTCCAATAAAATTTAGGATTATAATAGTCAGCCTAATTTTCTTTCGGCTAATCAGCAGCAAACAGAAGAGGGAAAAAAATTAAGGAGGCAGGTAGGAATTAAAAGACAAAAGCATCAGAACGAAATTCTTAAGAATTTGTGTAGGAGACATTTATTCAGTAATGGTTTGATAACGAATATATGACGTCATAAGCTAATTGAAAAATTTCCGAAATTTTTAAATTTTCCTAACAAAATTTAAGATTACAAGATCTGTGACTTTAGGATATTTAAGAAATGAACAAAAAATTACTTCACTGAATTGTTGGTTATTTTTTGAGATTAATACATTTTTGGTTTCATATAAGTAATTTTCACTGAGAGTTTTCAAGAAGTAAGAGGGAAAGATAAGAGAGATGAGATAAGACAGATAAGATGAGGGAGATAAGAGCAACAAACCTAAGATAATAAGGCTATTTAAAATAAATCTTCACTATTCTAGGCTTATTTGCTACTGACTGAAATAAATCAAGCTAATAAACATTTACCTATTAGTTTCTTGACTTAATATAACCAGCAAATGTGCCCTTACGATAATTAGTAACTGAGCGAAAAATTACTGAACTGTCTTTGAATTAAACAAACCATTAATAAACATGTATGTTAGGTTTGTTTAATACATGTATTAAACGAACATAATATAATTAGGATATTTTAAATGAGCCTTTACTTCTCTTAGGCTTATTACCTACTGACTGATACAAATCAAGTTTTCAACATTTGACTAATCAAACATTTGCCTAATAGTTTCAATGCTTATTATAATCAGTAGCTCACGGGATAGAGCATTCGCCTTCCAGTTAGATGAACCGGGTTTGATTCCCAGCGATGACTGGTAGATACGAATTCTGTACCCGACTCACACCGATCAAAATGCTGACGTAAAATATTTTCAGTGCCAAACGGATCATGGTTAGAGTCTCCTTTCCATCGGGCTAACAGTGAGAGGTTTTCATCTTTTTCCCCTCCATATAACTCTGATGCGGGTAAGTTCCATCAAAAAATCCTCCATGAAGACAATTTACTCCCAATAATTGATCCAGTAGCTCCCTTGTCTTCTGGATTGGGTTCGAAATTACAAGGCTATGGAGTTTGACATAGGTGCATTTAAATAATTGGGAAATTTGCGAAAAATTACTTATACTGAATTATCTTTCACTTCTCGCAAAAACCTAATAAAATAAGGATATTTAAATTTAGCCTTCATTGATCGAGGCTCATAACAATGAAATGTATATTTTCTAATGGATAATTTTCCAACTAGTCAGCAATATTATAAACACCTCATTTAAAAAAGCATTATTCAGAAAAAAATATAACTTTACCTTAAAGAAACAAAAGATGAAAACTTTTTTGAGATAAGAGTTTCAATCAACTGTCTTACGTTTGAAATTATACCTAAACTGAAACGCATAATAATTTATTGAAAAACAATTTCTGTTATTGCATATTGATTTATCTTGGACTAGATATTTTATATGTACCTATCAGGAATATGCATAGCGAAATACATACAGGAAATAAATTTCCATGCATTTTATATTCAGAATCTATCGTCTTCAGCAATAACCGACATTGGAGCTTTTACGATTACGTGCTTTCCAATTTATTTACGGCCTTTCAATAATTTATCATCCTATTCTTTTGAACTTTTCCACAATTCTTTTGAATTTGTTTCGAATGCTTTACATCGTTTCGCTTTATGAAATAAGTATTTTGTTCTTTTTCGCTTTTCATATGATACAATGTAGTTTTGTGTCACTATGGGTTTGGAGCTGTTTTGAATAATGGAAGCCAAGATATGATAAATATTTATTGATGAATTATTTTTTTTTCCTGTCGCAAAGTTTAAAGTTTCACAATAAGTGTTTTGAAGAACTTGATATTAAAATTTTGCCATGGGAAAAATAGTTTATAGATTGATGAAATTTGTCACTGCTTTATTAAAATAGATTATTTTTAGACTATGCAGTTTTAAGTAGCAGTAAGTTTTTTCAAAACTATTTCTCACAAAAACAGTTACAAAAGTTAATTTATACATTCTCAAAATTAACTTTAGAAAACTTAGGAATTACTTACTTTTAATTTTATAACCGTCGTTGAACAGCCGACCCAATTTTGGGTGTACGACTACTAATGTAAAACTCCGCAGCCTTGTAATTTTGAGCCCAATCCAGAAGACAAGGAAGGTCCAGTACCAGTACCACCCGAGGTGTGATTTGTTATGGGAACATGGAGCACTTTGTGACTCTACAGATTTAACGTGTATCAGTCAGCATTTACGGAACGAGTCTTCGGCCGACTGGGATCGAGACCACGACCTACTGATCATGGGCCCAGTTTCCTACCAACCAGGCTATCCTGGCCTAGTTAAGTGACTTTTGTAATTTTTGAAATATATTAAAATATTAATAACAAATTTTATCACTCATAGCAATTATTATTATAAAAGTTTAATTGAAGTCTGGGTGCAAAATGACTGACCCATTTTGAACACAAATTCAAGCAAATATAAAAACGTATTTGAGAAATAAAAATTTTTTTTAACATACTTACTGCATAACTATTAGAAAATCGAAAAAAAAATAATTAATAAATAATTAAAAACAAAGTATTATGTTGAGTTAGTTCCAAATTTCGCCAAAAGGTGAGTTGAAATTTAAACGTTCTGATGAACTGTTAACTAAAAATCCTAAATTCTTCAAAAAATTTCTTCTTAAACCTTGACAGATGGTACTTTGTGTTCAATATGCTAAAATTTTGTTTAATAAACGAAAATAAATAAATTCCTGCGTGCAATCAAAATTACATCCATGATATTAACGATCGTAAATCTTTAAGGATACTAGATGAAATTTATGGAATTGTCGTTTCATGCACTTTTAACTATCCTATAGAAATCTTATAACATAAGTACTATTTGCATCACATAATTTATTTCTTTAACTTAAGTTTGAAACATGTAGATAAAAGGAATATTCATGATTGAAAAATTACTGTGAAAAACGTGTATTCTTAGACAATGATTTAAACTACATAAAACTAACACATGCTATTTATATATTTTTTAAAAACAATTTCATTTATATTAAGGGCATAATTTTCTTTGTCTAATTACGAAAATAAAAAGATAGAAAGGAAAAGAAAATGTTTGGCCAAAATACCATATAAATTTTAAGCTATTCTTACAAATTATGTGGTTAAAAAAAGACAACTTTTCTTGTACAAAATACAACGCATATTTTTTTTAAATCTTTATATTTATCATATATAGCATATTCAATGCTTCAAAATTGAATTAAAGAGGCAACTAAAAATGAAAACATTGATTCACTTTCAACAGTAAAATGCAATTCTAATTTAACTATGCACTTTTCCTTTCGTATAGATAAATAATTTTACGTAAAAAAAGCAATAAATAAAATTAATGTCTACTTTTTCGCGAAATATGAAAACAGTAAAAGCAGATTCTAATACTTTTCTCTATAAAAATAAGTAGATAAACTCATATTTATCCAAGTTTACTTTTTCACAGCAGCTGTTATTGAATGGCACAGTGATTCAGTAATTTGTTTTGGCGAAGAAAAGCCTTTTTCAAATTAATCACCATTTCTGGCTTCACAATCCGACCAACACTTAACAACATGAAAAATGGAGTGTTATCTGTGACATATGATGAATGATGTCATACAAGTGGTTTTCGAAATATTTACTTAGATTAAAAGGAGGAACAACTCTATCAAAAGAGATCTATTTATCTCAGGTTGATTCTTGCCAGCAGAAATTAAATCAGATTCTTTTCATAAATTTTGACTTTTGGAGTAAATTACAGTAAGAGTATTATAAATGTTTAAAGCATTTTTTTTAGTGAGGAATAGGGTACAGTTAACTAGTGGAGTAATAACTAATAGTTGAAAGTGCTCTGCTTTATAAGTTAAAGTGTTCATAAATGTCTTCTTTTAAAATTATATTACTTTTTTCATCGAATTAAGTACAATATTTTTTTTAGAAAATATTATTCAGTATTTATGGTGGTCCGTTCTCCTTTCCATACATTTTGCTTAGCCTTATTAGAAATGGAATGTTATCTATGACAAATGATGAATCATGTCGTACAAGTGGCTTACGAAATATTTACTTATATTAAAAGGACGAATGACTCTATCAAAGATTCATCTCAGATTGATTTTTTCCGGCAAAAAATTAAAAAAGATTCTTTCATAAATTTTGACTTAAGGGGTAAATTATGGTAAGAAGATTGTAAATGTTTAAAGTAGTTTTTTTTTATTAAAGAACAGAATACAGTTAACTAGTTAAAAGTGCTATGCTTAATAAGTTAAAGTGTTTATAAATGTCTTCTTTTAAAATTATATTACTTTATGAATCAAACTAAGTGCAATATTTTTTAGAACATATTATCAGTATTTATGGTGTTTCATTATCCGTTCCATATTTTTTTGCAAAATCTCATTTGAAATGGAATGTTATCTGTGAAATATGAATAATGTATTACAAGCGGTTTTCCAAATATTTACTCAAATTAAAAGGACTGGCAATTCTATCAAAGAGATCAATTTATATCAGGTTGATACTTGCCAGCAACAATTAAATAAGATTTTCATAAGTTTTAACCTTTAGGGTAAATTACAATAAGAGGATTAAAGTAGTTTTTAATTAGAGAACAAAGTATAGTTAGCTAGTTGAATGAGAGCTCTGTCTAATAAATGCTCTGCTTCATGAATGGTATCTTTTAAAGTAATATTAATTTATGAATAAAGTGCAATATTTTTTTGGAACTTAATATTCAGTATTCTAGGAGTTCTGTTTCCCATATCATATATTTTGTAAGTCCTTATTAAAAATGAACACAAATGAGTATGCATGCGAAGGATTCTAAATTAAAATTGCATATAAAAAAAAATCAAAAATGCTATCGAAATGTAACAAATGTAACAAATTACAGTTGAGGAAGAGGGTGTATAGAACCTCAAAACATATTTACTTACAGAAAAGAAACAGGGAGAAGTCAGAAGATGATGATTAAAAACACCTTCAAGTTCATTTTGCACTCAAAACAGTCAGTTTTTAGTGATTATGAAATATTTATTGACAACCAAAACTGAGAGTACTCTTTTTTAAATCTATTTTTAATAATGATTCAAAAAAATATTCATAATGAGTGGTCTTTGCGGAATACCTAGTATTTGGTATTGAAATAAATTTGTTTTCGCATGATTTGTTATTTCAAATTTATTAATCAAAAAAGAAAGAAAACTTTTTTAACGTTATTTATCCTAGTGTGATAGAATCGGAAAACGCTTCACAATATTTTCCAAGAGAAATATTAATGATAGGTTTTGTATTATATACAATGTGTATTAACTTTTATACAAATGCAATTTGAGTGTCTTTTTTTTCTCCAAATAATAATTTTCTAAATGTACTATACCTTAAGACGCAATTGTGTTGAAAATTAGAGAATACAATTTATTCAACACACTTTAAAATGTGTTAAAAAGACGTAAACAATATTGTTTTCTAATTATAATTTATCCTAAATTTACTTTCTATTTTTAAAGTTATTCAGTATAATGTTTAAATATTTAAAAATAATTAAGTAGATTTTTTAACATTGAATTTAAAGTAAACAAATTTTTATAAATAATTTTAAATAAATAACAGCAAAAATAAATTGTACGATCAGTTTCTGTACTACTAGTTTAATATGTGTCGAACAACACATATTAACATATAGATGTTTTTCGTAAAAAAATTCAAGGACTTTCAAAAATAGAAATTAATAAGCATCAGATGGCAGCACTGAAGCCAGACTTAACTAAGACTTTACTATAACATTTAAAATTTTAACTTTCCCTTATAAATAGTTAAGTTCGTACAACTGTTGCTACTATAAAATTTGATATTAAGATGCCTTTATAAAGTTAATTTATAAAAAGTAATCACGAATATTAAAGTACGTACAATTTTTTGACAAAAGTATGGTATGAAATTCGCGTCATAAGTAATTATTTTCACTAATTATTTAACAGTGATTCTTTTCATGAAAACAATTATAGTTATTTTTATATAAATGAAATATACAAACAAAACATTTTTTCTCCTTTTTTTTGAAATTTATGCTTACAAAACTTATAAAGCCGTTAAAAGGACTACCTTTAAAATAATATTTAAGCATATAATTTCAAGTGCGCAAAAATTCTTATATCTTCTTACTATTGTTATTGGAAACCGTTTGTAAATTAAAAGCTACAAATGTAGTTTTATTTTTGATATATTTAACTGGAATAATACTAAACGTCTCAGCACTATATGCAACATAAAATCTAAAAATGATATAAAATATTTCAAATAGAAATTTATATTCTGAAAGCAATGTAGAAAATAAGCCATAAAATTAAACTCGACTATTGAAATAGTATCAAGATTAAATAACATAATATTTTTGTCATTAAGACTTTAAGAATTACTTTAGGTCCTTATTTTGAAATTGATTTTGCTTAAATATACTTAAGTCATTTTAAATCGGGTTTGGTATTAATTTCACTTAGAATTCGAACTAATTTAATTTTACAAATCCTTGTGCAGTCTTATGTTTTCCTCCTAAAGCGCATTGTATTTAAATGTATTGTTGTTGCTTGGTCATATGCAATTTTTCAAGCTTATTAAAATTATCTTTTATATCATTACATTGCGTATGCAACAAATTTAATTAAATCGTTCTTTTATTTTTCTACTTTTTTTGTGTTTATTGAAAATTTTGTCTGCCCTTGTCATGGAACGTTATTTTGAATCTCTCATAACCCCCGATCCGTTTTGGGTCAGAGTTTTGAAATTTGGAAATTGACTACGAGAAGCGATTTCAGTTCCTTAACCGAAAAAAAAACATTTAGAAAGTTTAATTATTCCGTTCGGGAAGAGGATATAACGCTAGCCATTGCTATAAATAAAATTCTAACAATTCTGTTTAAGATTTTATCACCCGCTCTTCAATCTTAAATTATTTTTTACAAGTTCAGACATTAACGTAATTAGCGTGAATCACGGTACGTTACCGAATTTAGTATCTGTGAAACTTTTTGTAACCACGTGTTTATTTTGTTTAAGGTTGTGACCAGTTTCTGGGATAAAAATTGACTCACAATTGTTTTAAAAAATTCAAAGAATCGTAAGACAAAAAAAAATAATAATTTAAAAAAAATATAAAATCATTTCTAGGCAAGTTATGAATAAAATATTGGGTAAAACTTACGGAAATCGAGTATATGTAGTTTTTGATCAAGTTTAATTGAGTTAAATAATTTACCACGCATTGCATTCATTTAATACAAAATTATAAAGAAAAAGAGCTGAAAAAATTTCTTATAATATTTTTAAAGAAGGCAGAGGCAAAGTCGGTTGTTGATTTGGATATAATACTGTTATTAAAAAAACACTGAGTTTTTATTTACTTTCTTTATAAGCTTCATAAGAAAGTTTTGCAATACATTTTAGGATAAACCTTATAAAATAGACATAATACTAAGACAATTAGCCAAAACTGTATAAACTCTATTTTTATAAAATTTAAACGATATTTAAATTATAACTTTTTCGTGTAAATCGATAGAAAGTTGCTGTTTTTGTAAACAAATTTAAAATATTTTATTGCGCAACGAAACTACATACATATAACAGTAAAACTAATTTTGGTCAGCCATGTTTGATCTGAACTATTAAATATTGAAATGGAAACATTACCAGTTAAATTATCTTTTTAAAATATTTTACATACCAACTATTTATACGGATTTAGCGTTGAATAAAATGAACTAAAATAATATTTTAAAAATATTAGCAAACGTTTAAATTGTTTTAATTATATTAAAAACTGAATTTTATGAATAATTATTTTTTCATATAAAGAGAGTATTCTTGCTGTTGAGTTCTAAGTTCATTGACGTAAATCTTTGGAATTCTAAAAGTATTGTTACTCTTTCTTTAAATGAACAAATTGGTCAAATGAAAATAGAGTTATAAAAAGACAAAACGAAGTGAATGACGAAAAAACTAAAAAAATTCTTGATTATAATATTCTTTATTGAAACATTAACTGCTAAAATTTTCTAACTTGCTCACCCGAAAAGATTTGTTTTCTTTTTGGATTTTAAATTCTTGTAAGCAGTGAATGATTTTTCGCCTTTGTTAAAACTACAGAACCCGTAATTGGAGACAATTATTGTATATCAAATTGACAAACAAAGCGTAAGTTATGTATATGTTGCCAAAAGATCCCCCGTTACAATTAAGTCCTATTTTAAGAATTACAAAATTAAACTGTGACCACACATGAATTACCACTTGCATGTCATTGGTATATCTTCACATGTGAAATATTATTTGATCCATCAATTTTTAGCATAATATTTATATTAATATTTTCAAATAAATGCTAATAATTTATCACACATCTAGATATTATTTATCGATCATAATTTAAGCATAATTTAGCATAATTTATTACAAATTATATTCTATTGCAAGTTTGGAAGAAACAAAAACATCATTCCTATATGGGTCATTCTCACAAAAACAGTCATTTTCATGTCCCCAGTATATTTTATGTTTGTTTTACAACTTACGAAAAA